CTGCCTGTCTTTGCCTCTAGCCAGGCATCAGGGGTTTGCTTCAATTGACATTTCAGATGTTAAACCTGCCAGCAAGAGTTTACTAGAGTAACAGTTCCATTTTTCAGTAGCTGGAAAACAGGGCTAAGAAATACAATAGGGAGTACAATGAATACAGTTCTTGTCCTCAGAGGCTTACAGTTTAATTAGGGAGATAGATTCATAGAGAAACAAATTCACGCCTGTAACTCTAGCTACCCAAGAGGCTGATATCTGAAGATCAACTTTCAAGCCTCTTCTCCCCAAAGAAGGAAAGTCTATGAGACCCTTTTCTCCAATTAACCGCTAAAAAGCAAAAACAAAACAAAACAACCTGAAAATGGAGCTGTGGCTCAGTGGTCGAGTGCTAGCCTTGAAGAACAAAACAGCTCAGAGACAGCTCCAGTAATGGCAGAAACAAACTAACAAAAAGAAACAGTCGGTACATAATTAATTTGTCTTCCCTAAAAATGCAGAACCTGTGACGATTCCCTTACTTTGGCATGTAGTGATTTCAGCCAGACCCATCTGAATGAAACTGAATTTTTCCTAAAATGAAATGCTGAGTTTTGCTCACTGGATATATCTTGATCAATGAGATTTATCCGAGATGCTAACTGTGAAATGCTGTTTTGGTTTTGTTTTCTTCTGATAATTAAAAAGTGGAATTTAGGTTGAACAATTGCTTCCAAGCATCTCAGCTCTAATTCTAAGAACAGGTTACCTCATTTGGAAAAAAGATCCTTGAAGATGTGATTAAATTAGGAGCTGGAGATTTTCCTAGATTATCTGGATGAACTCTCAAATCAGTTCTCAGTAAGCGTTAAGAAGGCTGTGTAGCTGGAGATATGACAGACAGAAGACACTGTGATCCCAAAGAGGGGGCAGGGAGCAGAGAAGGGAAAGAGGTAGTCACAAGCCCAGGAATGGCAGCAGCTACCAGAAGCCCCAAGAGGCAAAGGGTAGATTTTCCTCTAGAGCTCTAGAGAGAGAAAGCACAGCCCAGTAGAAAGGAATGATTTCAGACTTCTTTCAGGTCTCTAAATCTGTATAAATTTCTGTTGTTTAAGATGCCCAGTTTGTGGTCATTTGTTATATACAGTAGTCACAGAAAACTAATGAATGTGATCAAAATTAAAAACATGAGCTCTGCAGAAAATAATTTTTTTTGGTCGGTTGTAAGGCTTGCATCAGGGCCTGGGCACTGTCCTTCAACTCTTTTTCTCAAGGCTAGCGTTCTATCACTTGAGCCACAGCACCACTTCTGGTTTTGGAGTGGTTAACTGGAGAGAAGAGTCTCATGGGGACTTTTCTTCCTGGGCTGGCTTTGAACCATGACCCTCAGATCTCCACCTCCTGAACAGCTAGGATTATAGGCATGAGCCACTGACGCCCCCCTGTGTTGGTTTGTTTTTAATTACACCACTCACAAATAACCCCTACAGACCTGCTTACACATGATGCATAAGAGAAGCTGTTAGCCTCAGGCTCCTGGAATACCAGTGGCTTTTCCCACTTACTCGCAAACCCCACTTTTACCATTTCACTTTGTATTGTGGCCAGGAAATACCTTCAAGCATGTGACTTTACCTGGCTACCCTAGTTTTGATTTGTCATTTCTTTTACATTTGTCATTCAGTAATTTTTGTATTGATACACATATAGACAGTTTCCAAAATTCAGACATTAGCTACTGTCTTGTGATGAAGATGATTGTGTATCATTTACTCGTGTGACACCTGATTCTTACCCTAGAATGGAGGCCAGGGAAGGGTTTCTGGGTTAAGGAACATGAGTGCATTAGGGCTCCTGACAGAGTTCTGAGATATACAAACCGGTCATATTTCCAGTAAAAAGTAGGAAGAGTCAGTCTATCACCGGCTTGTCAGTATGAATGATAATAACCTCATCATCATCATCATCATCATCATGATTTACAGTACTGGGATTTGAACTCAGGTCCTAACACTTACTAGATAGGTCCTCTGATGACCCCAGCCCATTTTATTTTAATTATTTTTCAGATAAGAGTCTCACTTCTATCTGGGGCCACCTTCACATCATAATCCTCCTACCTCAGCCTCTAGTATATAGCTGGGATTCCTGGTGGACAACTTCCACACCCAGGTTGTTCTTTGATAGAGGGCTTATTACTTTTTGCCTTGATTGTTCCTGTTGAGCCATGATATTCCTACCTCTGTCCCCTCAGTAGCTGGTATGACAGGCCAGAAGGTTACTTGGTAATTTAAAAATAATTATATCTTTTTTTGTTGTTGTTGTCAGTCATGAGGCCTGAACTCTGGACCTAGGTGCTATCACTCAGCTCTTCAGCTCAAGGCTAGTGCTCTACCTCTTGAGCCATGGCACCACTTCAGGCCTTTTCTGCTTATATGGTGCTAGGAATCAAACCCAGGGCCTCATGCATGCAAGGCAAGCACTCTGCCACGGAGCCACCTTCCCAGCCCTAATTATATCTTTTTTTTCTATGAACTCTCTGTTGAAGTTCTTTGCTTATTTCTTTAGTAAGATACTTTGTCTTGTTTGTTCATTTATCTGCCTTTTGGAAGGTAAGGAGGGGTACAGAAGAGGTAAGACAAAGGGGGAACAAATGTAGCAGTGGTACTCACTAGACACTATGTTGAAAATGAACTATACAACTTGTGGGTGGGCTAGGGAGGGAAGAGAGAGAGGAAAGGGGTGATATCGTCCAAAAAGACACGTACTCTTTACCTGAATGATGAAACTGTATCCCCTCTGTATGCCACCCTCTGTATGTCACCTTTATAATAACAGTAAAAATATACTAAAAATTTTGAGAAGCATTACGGCAACCGACAACCCCTCTACTGAATTTCTAAGGCATTTTCTATGTTCTTACATAGTTCCTCCAGTTCAAATTTTTAGAAAAAAAATCAAAACATAACTGAGAGCATTACAAAAATTAAAAGATTAAGAGGAAACTGTTTCCTTCTGAAGTTTCTAGACAAGAAACCACTTCTACCATCAACTACTTAAAAACAGACTGCTGCAGTTCATTAGCTCAATGAGAGAGAACACTGTCCTACAATAAGAGGATCACAACTACAAACGAATGAACAATAAAGTTTATGCACAATTAAAATAGCAGTAACACAGTATTTTTAGTTGATTCAGACTGGCAAGTAATTTAATAAATTGAAACTCATGGGTGAGGCTGTAGAGAAAAGTGCTTTCCTGTCTCTCTAGAGAACAATTTGGCAGTACGTGACAAAATTTAGACAAAAACTGAAGAACCTATGTGGCTCAAGTTCAGAGCACCTACCTAACAAGTAAGTGTGAGGCTCTGAGTTGAAATCCCTGGGATCAACCAACAAACAAACCAAAGGAAAGTAGAGCTGTGAGCTCTGGGGATAAGGAATGAGGCGCTTACACGAGGGGGCTTGGATTTAATCCCCAGCACTGAAAATCTCCAAAAGTTGAAAAGGAAATCTTTGGTCAATAAATATACCCCAGTGGTCCTTCTCTAAGGACACTGAAAGAAGTAGAAAGTCATGTGTGCACATTATAATTTATTACAAGGTTTCTTTGTTTATTGTGCCTGTACTGGGGGTTGAACTCAGAGCCTGGGTGTTGTCCCTTAAACCTTTTGTTCAAGGTTAGTGCTCTACCACTTGAATCACAGCTCTACTTCTCACTTTTTGTGCTAGGGATTTTCCTGTCCTGTTGGCTTTGAACTTTGATCCTTAGGTCTTTATTTTAATGTTTAGAAAAGTAAACTATTGGGAAAAAAACCCAAACAAACAAGAACCTAAGTACTCGATCAGAAATGACATGCATGAGAGAATCTTGGGTAAAAATCATGCCTCTATTAACAAGAAAGATGGCCATATGCTTGAAATAGAAGTGTGTGTGTGTGTGTGTGTGTGTGTGTGTGTGTGTGTGAGAGAGAGAGAGAGAGAAAGAGACAGAGAGACAGAGAGACAGAGAGAGAGTGGGGGGGAAGATGAAGGGAGAAAGGTACAAAGAGACTTTCTGAGTATTAATATACCTGGGTATAGAACTTCTCCTTTATACCTTGTTGTATTACTTTAATTTTTGCAGTAACAGTTTGTTTTGATTTGGGAAAGTAAAAACACTGCACAAAGACCGAAGAATGGTAACACTGTATCTCTCTCTCTCTCTCTCTCTCTCTCTGGTCTTAAAGGAAAGAGAACACAGAGGGCTACTTTCTACTTTTCTCCATTTTCCAAATTATCTTTTATTGAATATGATTACTTTGCTATTTTTGGTGGCATTAGAGTTTGAAACTCAGTGCCTTGTGCTTGCTAGGTAGGTACTCCAATACTTGAGCCATACTCCCAACCCATTTTACTTCAATTGTAGCTGGGCTTACAAGAGTATGCCACTGTACTCAGCTTATTTGCTGAGATGGAAGTCTTGCTAACTTTTTGCTTGGGCTGGTCTTGCATCTTGATCCTCCTCCTCAATAGCTGAGACTACAGGTGTGTCCACTAGGTACCCCTGATTGACCAGTCAATCTTCTTGTTCTATCTTCCCTTTGCCCACCACTTCTTTCCCCAACTTCTAAAAGAAACACAGAAGGAACCACTCGATCAAAAAAGAAGCAGCAGGGGGTGAAGAAACAGTGTGTGTGCGGGGTGTCTCAGGTTCCTATTTTGCCTTTGCTGTGTGACTTTGGGCCGGCTACTTTACCTCTCTGGTTCTCCGCTTCCTTCCTATACAATGAGGCACATTCAGATGACTATAAACACGGAGATAATCTAACCCAGCTCTTAAAACAAACAACTCAAAATTCAAGAAGGCAAAATGGAGCCAACGGTGTCTACCACCCTCCTTTTCCCCCCACACCATCCTCCTTCACCGCACGGCGAAGATCATGTCAGCCAGCTGGTCAGTTTTATGATTGTTATTTTAGTGTCAGAACGCTCCTTGGCCCGTCCATGCATCTCACCCGTAACCACAATGGAAATGCAAACACTCACCGTGAACTTGTCATAGAGCTCATAAGTCAGGAGGGGGTTGGGCAGCTCCCGGAAGTAGAGCTTGCAGAGGGAGCCCACGCAGTGGATGTCCTGCAGGTACACCTCCTTTGTCAGATCTGGACAATGGTCTGAGACAAACTCCTGCCTGAAACAACACAGATGAGACATAACCCCACAGGGCTGGGAAGGTGGCTCAGTGGTAGAGTTGCCTGCCTAGCATTCAGGAAGCCCTGGGTTCCATTCCTCAGTACCACATACACAGAAAAAGGCGAAGTGGTGCTGTGGCTCAAGTGGTACAGTGCTAGCCTTGAGCTGAAGGGCTCAGGGACAGTGCCCAGGCTCTGAGTTCAAGCCCCAGGACTGCCCCCCCCCTCCGCCCCAAATCACAGATCTTAGCTTGGTTGGCAGTGCGGTTTCTTTATTTTGGGTACAGTCGTGGGGCCTGAACTCTGGGCCTGGGCGCTGTCCCGCAGCTCTTCAGCTCAAGGCTAGTGCTCTACCACTTGAGCCACAGCGCCACTTCTGGCTTTTTCTGCTTATGTGGTGCTGAGGAATCGAACCCAGGGCCTCATGCGTGCAAGGCAAGTGCTCTACCACTGAGCCACTTTCCCAGCCCTGTGGTTTTTTTAAGACAAGGTCTTTGCTATGTAGCCCAGGCAGGTACTGAAATTCAATACCCTCTACCTCTTAAGTGCTTGCTGGGATTACAGGCACAAGCTACCACACTCAACTGATTTGAATATAATTATATATATGTGTGTATATATACACTTACATATGTAGATATACTTATATATGTATATGTCTACATATATATGTATATGTCTACATATGCACACATATATATATGTATATATATATACATACACACATATAAAGACAGAGGGAGAGTGCATGTGCGCCAGTCCTGGACTTGAACTTGGCACAAGCACTGTCTCTGAGCTTCTTCTCCTCAAAGCTAACCCTCTACTACTTGAGCCACAGCTCTACTTCCAGCCTTTTTTAATTTTGTCATTTATTGGAAGTATCTGTCTCATGGACTTTCCTACCTGGTTGGTTTTGAACTGCGATTCTCAGACCTCAGCCTCCTAACTGACTATTTTTTTTTTTAAATCTTGGTTCTACTCCAGGTACAAGTAAGACTTGCCAGGAGAAGACTTCCACTCCCAATCTGGGTTGACTTTGCAAAATCTGCTGCGGTTCAAAGCCATAAAACTCACTGGCAAATGCCTTTCCCCACTGCATTGTATCTCCAAGTCCTGGTTCCAAACACTGGGGAAATATGAAACCAATTTGCAAGAGGCCGATTAAAATTTCAGTTTTTTCCAAAACATCGCTCCAAGTGAAATTTTCTTTCTTCCCAGAGAGACACAAACCAGGGTAGGGCAGATCCTTATCACTCATCTCCACAGACTCAGGGAATAAACCTGTTTTATCTGGAGACTCAAACCCAAGGTTTGGGAAAGTTTTAATGAACTATCTCTTTGATGCCAGGTGGAAACTTCTCGGCTGCTTGATTATCACTCCTTCAGGATATCTGAGCTTAAAAACATCATAAGCAAGCAACAGTGGGAAGTCTGAGAACATCATCTGATTCCAGGATCTTTTTTTTTCAGCCTTCCTATATAGCCCTAGCTGGTTTCACACTCCCAATCCTCCGCTTGCCTCAGTCTCCTAAATGATGGGATTACAGGTATGTACCTCCAGGCCCAGTTCATCTCTGATTTCTAATTATAAAACATTTCCTAATACCTCCATATTAATAACTTGTTTAAAAATGAGAAATTTAGCTGATCATTGATGGCTCACACCTGCACTCTGGAGACTGAGAGCTCAAGACTGTGGTTCAAAACCAACTTGAGCAGGAAATTCCATGAGATGCTTATCTGCAATTAACCACCAAAAAGCCACAAGTGGAGCGGCTCAAGTGGCAGAGTGCTAGCTTTGAGAGAAAGAGCTCAGAGATAGCACCCAGGTCCTGAGTTCAACCCCCAGGATCAGCACGCATGCACGTGCACATGTGTATACACACACACACACACACACACACACACACACACACACACACACACGAGAAAAATAGGAGCTATAAAATATAAGGTTTCTGAGTAGTAGCAAGATTCTTGAGAACCACTGTTTTCAAAACTGCATACTACTAGTTTCTATTCTGATTCTGCCCTTTTAAGAAATGGTGGGATCTAGTTATGCTGTTTCATGCCTGTAATCCCAGCCACTCTGGAGCCAAAGATCAGGAGAACGCCATTGGAAGCCAGCCCATAGAAAAGTTAGCAAGACCTCATCTCAGTCAGTAAGTAGCGTAGGGTAACATTTAACCATCATCTCAGCTATGGGGAAACCACAGTAGGAGGACTGTAGTCTGACTCTGGCTCCCAGAAAAAACTGGGAGTCCCTGTCTGAAAAAGAGATGATGTAAAAAGAGGGCTGGGGGCATAGCTCAAGTGCCAGAGAACCTACCCAGAAAATAAGAGGCTTTGGGTTCAAACCGCAGTACTGTCTGAACAACAATGTCACATTGTTAGCGGAATAATAAACATAGAAGCTCATTAAAATCTATGGTCACCTGGAGTAGCTCAGTTTAGCACTTGTCCACCAAACACAAAGCCCAGGGTTTGCTCCCCAGCACTACAAAGGAAAACAGACAAACAATCTATGTTCCAATGAACAGATTCTTTTTTCTCTTCTTTGCTGGTACTGGGGTTTGAATTCAGGATCCTGAGCTTGGTCAGCTGGCACTCTACCACTTGAGCCATACCTCTAGCTCTGGTTTTAGCTGGTTATTTTGAAGATGGTGTCTCACCAAGTTTTTTGCCCATGCTGGCTTTGAACTGTGATCCTTTGGATCTCAGCTTCCTCAGTAGCTAGGATTATAGGCATAAGCCACTAGCATCTGGCCAAACTGTTTTGCTTCTGCAAGAGTAAAAAGGATGCTTTCTTCCTATAGTATAACTATACTCCTTTTGTGTAACAAGATTTGGCAAGTAGGGGCAGATACCAGATAGGAGGAGGGAGTCAAAATTGAGTTATGTTTATAGTGTATTAAATCTTGTATATTCACCTTGTAGTAAGAATGGTCTTAATGTTTTAAAGGCTCCATTGATAATTAAAGAACATATAATGAATATATAAAAACAACACTGATGGCAGCAGTTTTGCTGTTAAAAATAATATGCAAAATACGTAAGTCTATTGTCTATTGTAGCCCTAGCGCCTACAGACAGAGATCTGATAGACAGCAGAAGGCTCATGGGCGAATTCTTCTATATTATTCTCTTCGCTTACCTCAGCCGCTGTATGTTTGAGGTGACTCCTGAAAGCCGGTAGACCCCATCCACAATACCATGAGTCTCTATAAATTCTGCACAGCTCTTCAACACATACGGAACTAAGCAGAGCAAAGAAAACAAAAAAGCAATAAAGTATTAGATGTAAATCTGTCCTGTAAAGATACACTTTAAATAAAAATCCAGTTGGCTCCAAGGAGAAGCAAGTATGAGATGCCCAAGAAATACAAGTGGAAACAATTACTGATAAGTGGTAATGATTTTTTAATTAGTAAAATCTAATGTTCAGTTGTACATGGTAGGGCATACTTGTAATCCCAATTACTCGGGAGGAAGAGATAGGCTGGCCCTGGACAAAACCCACTACTTGAAAAATAAGGCAGAAAAATGTGGAGATGTGGCTCAAGTGCTAGAGCTCCTGCCTAGCAGACTGTGATACCCTGAGTTCAAACCCCATTGTCATAAAAAGAAAAAAAGATGGGAACCCCACCCACATGCTTCCTGCCACCATTGATTTAACGGACAGACAAAGGCAGCAGGAGGCTGACATGTTGTATTCCTGCCTCTCCACAGGTTCAGAGCCTAAGTCGAAGTTTGTGTTCTTGTTTTCTTTGGGACTGACCTGAAGGGACTTGGCAGACTTGAGTGACCTGAGGGCAGGTACAATGACCTGAGAGCAAGTCCCTCATAACCCTGGAGGTCTCTGGAAGAATGCAGCCTCTGACCCATGTCTTCAATGGCTCCCTGGGAGCCAACAAGTGACAAGGAACCTCCATGAGTGGAGGCTGATTTAGCACCATGCCAGTGTGGCCAACACATATCTATTCGATTAGACCAATGCCCATTCACCATGCTATTGCACATGCTCACCCTCATACGCATCCCAGACTGGACTGTAGGTGCGGATATACCAGATGTGCAGATCCTACAACATTCTACCCAATTTTTCTCATGTGGTGCTAGGAATCGAATTCAAGACCTCTGACATGCAAGACGCACACCGTGTGGGTCTCTACTAGTCTCCATAATAAAACTAAACCCTGCTACCCTGGCTTGGTTCTTCCATAAAGAACCCTTCTGCTGAGAGCTGCACCCCTCCAGGACATCTCCAGGGTCTTGCCCTTATTCTAGCCTTCAAGAAAGGAACTGGGGTATGAAGAGGTCAAGCAATTCCAGGGATGGGAAATATGGAGGCCAGAGGCCAAGGAGGTACAGTTCCTGTGATGTAAGTGAACAAACACAGAAGTGAGGCATAGGAGGGGCCTAGGCTCAGATGCTCAGCTTGTCTTCCATCAGAAGAGCTACAATTAAATCTGTTTCGTAAAATAAGACTCTAAGTAAGATTATGTCTCCTATCCTCATGCAAATACATAGAAGGAATTCGCAGAATTCTCTCTCTCTCTTACACACACACACACACACACACACACACCTTAAAACCCCAGGGTGTGCATCAGCTTAGAGCCACAAGCAGCCACGTGTGGTCTTAGGCTAGTATGGGTCTGGATGCCACAATGTCTTTTCAAGCTCCAGTGAAATGTATGATTCTGTTGTTTGTTTCCACATCTACTCTAGGAAGATGGTGGTGGTTTGCCTACTAGCTAGGACTAAGGTAACACTTGTGATCATTTTCCCAGACACAGAAAAAAACATCCTACAATGATGGCTATTACTTCTACCTATAGTGTAGTTCTTACATAAATTTATCTATCTGTGCCCGTAATGGGAGCTCAGGGCCTGGGTTTTCCTTAGGTTTTTCTGCTCAAGGCTAATGCTCTACTATTTGAGCCACATCTCCATTTCCAGCCTCTTGCTAGTTGGAGATGAGCATTTTGTACTTGTCTGCCTGGACTGGCTTCTTCCAACCACGATCCTCAGATCTCAGCCTTCTGAGTAAGTCAGAATTACAGATGTAAGCCACTGGTATCTGGTTAGCACGAGAGACTTTATAATTTGTTTTTTTTTGGTGAAGGCAGGGTGGGCCTTCTTCCTGCTGTGAAATGGGATTCTTCTAGTCAACACACCTCCCTACTTGGCCATCGCTGCTGTGTCCTTCTTTGGCATAGGTTTCTTTCTTTTTTTTTCTTTCCTGAATATATATATATATATCTATATATATATATATATAGATATATATATAAATATATATATAGATATATCTATATATCACTCTCTATATATTTATTGTAAAGATACTGTACAGAGGGGTTACAGTTACATGAGCAAGTTAATGAGTCCATTTCCTATTGAGCATTGTTACACCCTCCTTTATTTTTCCTCTACCATCCCATTCCTCCTTACCTCCCCAACGCTTCTCTCCCCTCTTCCAACTCCCCCCTCGCAAAGTTGTAAAGTTTGTATTCAACATACTGTCTTGTACGTCTCATTGTTACAGTGGGTCATCCTGTAATCTTATTTCAGCATTTTGTTATTTCCCTTCCCCTCTCCAAATTAGAAAAATGTATATAAAAGATGCAGGACACCAGAATCAAATACAGTGACAACAGGGGTTGTACCATGGGGGAAGAACATACAAAGAAACAAAAAAAAAATCACACAGTACATTATAGGTTCATTAAAAAGCACAGTAACAAAGATAAAACCTCTTGTGTCCCTATCTGGGGGTTCATTTTGCTTAGCATCAGGTTATATGGTCAATAGCTTTTGGCCTCTTCTGCTTGTCCTAGACATATACAAGTTATTGCATGGGACCTATGTTTCTTTGGGCCTGGCTTACTTCACTTAATATAATTTTTTCCAAGTCTTTCCATTTCCTAATAAATGGGGCAGTGTCATTCTTTCTGATGGAGGCATAGAATTCCAGGGTGTGTGTGTGTGTGTGTGTGTGTGTGTGTGTGTGTGTGTGTGTGTGTGTGTGTGTGTGTGTGTGTGTGTGTGTGTGTGTGTGTGTGTGTGTGTGTGTGTGTGTGTGTGTGTGTGTGTGTGTGTGTGTGTGTGTGTGTGTGTGTGTGTGTGACATTTTCTTGATCCATTCATCTACTGAGGGGCATCTGGGTATGTTCCATATTTTAGCTATCGTGAATAACGCTGCGATAACATAGTTGTGCTGGTAGCTTTAGTATGGCCTTGTTTGTGATCGTTTGGGTAAATGCCTAAAATTGGGATTGCTGGGTCATAGGGGAGCTCTATGTGGAGTCTTTTGAGAACTTCCATTCTGCTTTCCAAATTGGTTGAACAAGTTTACATTCCCACCAACAATGCAATAGGGTTCCCTGTTGGCCACATCCATCCAGCATCTGTTGTTATGAGATTTCTTGATTATAGCCATTCTAACTGGGGTGAGGTGTAATCTCAATGTTGTTTTGATTTGCATTTCTTTTATGGCTACAGAAGTTGAACATTTCTTCATGTGTCTATTGGCCATTCTTATTTCCTCTTCAGAGATGTCTGTTTAAAGCGGTTGTTTCTTTGAGGATTTGTTGTTAGGGGATTTAATTTTTTGAGTTCTAAATATATTTTTGATATGAGACCCTTGTCCGTTGTATGGCTAGTGAAGATCTTCTCCCAATCTGTGGGCTTTCTATTGATCTTGCTTGCTATGTCCTTTGCCATGCAGAAGCTCTGCAGTTTCACGCAATCCCATTTGTCCAATCGTTCTTTGATTTGTTGTGTTTCTGGGTCTTTATTAAGAAAATTTCGGCCTGTGCCAAGCAGACCTAGAGTTTCTCCTATTCTGTCCTGTAATGCTTTCAGAGTGCCTTTGCCTTCGAGGTCTTTGATCCATTTGGAGTTGATTCTGGTGCAGGGTGATATATACAGATCTAGCTTTAGTTTTCTACAGGTGCTTAACCAATTTTGCCAGCACCATTTGCTGAAGAGGCTATCTTCCTTCCATTCTATTTTTTTAGCTCCCTTATTGAAGATTAGGTGCTATAAATCTGTGGGTTCATTTCTGGGTCTTCAGTCCTATTCCATTGGTCCTCAGGTCTACTCCTGTGCCAATACCAAGCTGTTTTGATTACTATGGCTTTGCAGTAAAGTTTGAAGTTTAGAATTGATATTCCTCCAGCACTGTTCTTTCTGCTAAGGATTCTTTTTGCTATTTGGGGTCTTTTGTTGTTCCTTATGAATTTCTGGATTGTTTCTTCTATTTCCTTGAAGAATGAGGTTGGGATATTGACAGGTATGGCACTGAATTTGTAGATAGCCTTTGACAGTACTGTCATTTTCACAATGTTGATTCTCCCAATCCAGGAGCATGGGAGCTTTTTTCCACTTCTTAGTTCTGTTTTAATTACCTTTTTTCAGGATTTTAAAGTTTTCATTGTAGAGATCCTTCACTTCTTTAGTTCAGTTAACTCCTAGGTATTTTATTTTTTGTTGGGCTATTACAAAAGGAGTTGCTTCCAGATTTCAGCCACGTTCTTCTCATTATTGGCATGCAGGAAATTGGCATAGGTTTCTATTTGGGAATTATTCTGCTTCTGTGAGGTGTCTGTTGTGTGCATCTGGGTGTATTTTGTAGGATGAAGGCTATTCTTGTTTTAAAGGTTAGAACACATTCCACTTCTTCCAGCCTTGATGCAGGGTCCCTACTGCCTCTGGTTCATGGCTCTGTTCAAGCAGATGGCGATTATGAAAACAACCAAAAGGTAGAGGCCGCCATCCCAGCGTGTGTGGAGCATTTGCAGTCCTGACTCTCAGCCTGGGCTGCGTTGGAAGGTAGAGGGTTCCCAGTGACACCCAGCCATGGCTAAAGGTTCCTTCCTCTCTGCAATCATTTACAGTAGAGGGCCTCAGACCATGGACCTTGCATCAGGTCCTCCAGTGCCTCAACACGTTATTACAGTTGATTCCAAAGCTCTTCCAAGTGGAAGAACCACTGGTTTAGATGAGTTCATCATACAAGTCACTTGGGGATCTTGTAAATGAGCATTCCAACTGTGTAAGAAAGTAGGAGGGGCAAGGGCGGAGAATTTGCATTTCTAACTGATTCCCAGAGGACTTCCAACCAGAATCCACAGACAGTTCTGGAAAAGGCAGTCTACTGTCAAAGTATCAGAAATCCCTAGACTACAGCTCCTGGGGTGCAAGCAGATGGAGGACACCCTAGAATTCTGGACAGAGTAGAATCTTGATC